TATGAAAACTGTTAAGAATGTTTATTAGTTCTGATTTACAACTAAAAGGGCGCGTCCAAATTAGCTGCTGTTAGATGCGCTGCAGCCATACAATTTCTAGAAGCGTTGCAGTCACGGTTAGTGAGGTGTATGTACATATTAATCTTTCAAATTAACGGTGGATGAAAATCGAATTGAAGAATTTATAGAGAATGTAAAATAACACCCTGCAATATGGGATAGCAGTTCCGCCAGTTATTCAAATCGACTGGATAAAAAAAGGCATGGGAAAATTTTGAAACAGCACGATTGGCGCGTTTAATGCGGACACCCTCATGACTTATAGAACATTTGAAATTTCTTTACGATATGAACAAATAAATTTCGCTTGTCGTTTGTGCAGTGCGACCGCAGACATATCGTCGGTTAAAAGGTAAAACTCATTAAGTGACATTTTGTTCAAAAACTAGATTTTTTCAATTTTGCTATATTGGGAAGAACATCTATGACAAGAAAAATTCAGTAAGTCTGTGGTGTCCTTCATGTTTTAATACATACCAGTCCTTTAGTGATTTTTCATAATGAAAAAATACAAAATCTTAATTATCTCCCTTTGGCCAATTAGGCTATTAGTGAGTTTTACCTTTTAACCGACGATATGTTTATATGAGTTTGTTTTCACGAAATCGCCGTCGCGTCGCAGTCGCCTGTATTGCGGCTGCGGCCTTATGATACATTTGATAGGCGTGATATGAGCACACTACGCGATGGCTGATTATGAACTAAACTTAAACTATATTAATAAGTAACATGCTGCATAAACGCAATGTACGATATTGCACTGTACAGTGCCATTACGCTTCTATAATAACATTCCGGTTGATATTTTTAACCCACTTGACAAAAAAGGAGGAGGTTCCCAATTCGAGTGTTTTTTTGTATGTATGTTAGATTACTTCGGCATTTGCGTACCGATGGTGATGATTATTTTTTTTATTGGAAATACGGTACCGCAGTTTGGTCCCATTTAAATTTGAAGAAAGTATTCCACCTCTAAGGTTGGCAAACTACGTAAACCGATTTTAATAAAACTTGGCAATAATAATAATAATAATAATAATAACGCACACACTCAACATAGCCCCGCACTAGGGAAACCCTGTATCGCGGGTGCCATGGACACACACGTAGACAACCACAAATTACACCCAAACTCACGAGAGAAATAAATGTAAGCCATACAAACATTTCTCCCGGCCCGGGAATCGAACCTGGGACCTCTGTGTGGCAGTCCGGCATGGTAACCGTTCGGCCACTGAGGCAGTCAAATAGATGTAATTCCACGAACTTTTAACGTCGGTTATTTTTGTAATAAAAAAGTTATATTATTTTACGTCTTTACATCTAAAATAGAGACGAAAAAGAAGAGTATACAAAATAGCGATGAAAGATGAAAGAGTTTGTTCAGGGAAGTACTGCCACCTTACCTATTTCTGCCGCCAAGCAGTCATGTCAGCATTACTGCGTTCCAATTTTGAAGGGTAGGGGTGCTGATGAAATTACGGGCACATGGGACTTGTCATTGTATTGTATTGGCCTCATAAGAAGGCTCAAGGTCACTCAGCGGGCAATGGAGAGAATGATGCTCGGTATTTCCCTACGTGATAGAATCAGAAATAAGGAAATCTGTAGGAGAACTAATGTAACCGACATAGCTCGAAGAATTGCTCAGTTGAAGTGGCAGTGG